TCAGGGTGGGGGTCCCCACTGGGGTGCCTGGCCAGTCTGGGTGAGGGGCTGAGGGCCGTTTTCAGGCTGGCTGGTGACTGAAGCTCCCAACCTCTCCTTTTTTTCTTTTTTTTTTTTATTCTGGGATTTATTTACCTTCTATGGCTGTCACTGGAACTGAGAGCCAGCTTTAGCTCTGAGGCTCAGCTCCAGCTCTGAGACCTCGGCTGCTGAAAGCAGGTATCTGGGTTTGTTTGGGTTCTATAATTGTAACACTGTTGCGGTCCTGCTAGCTCCAGCTCTGACGGCTGAAAGCAGGTTTCTGGGGTTTATTTACCTTCTATAATTGCAACATTGTTTCTTAGATTGCAGCTCAGAGGCTGGCAGCGGCAGGCGGGGAACCTTGGCTTCCTCCTTCACTGGAGAAAGCAAGCCTCCTGTTCGCTTCAGCTGCCTGGCTGCCGGCCGCCATCTTGGTTGGCAGTTAATTTGCATATCTCGCTGATTAGCCAATGGGAAGGGTAGCGAAGTTACGGTTAATTACCATGTTTCTCTATTATTAGATAGGATGTTCTCTTATAGCTTGAGTCTTGGCTCTGAATTCTTTCCCAGCCAGAACTCAAGTATGGAGGTTGCTGAACTCAGGTCTGGTCCAACTGTCACCTGGTGCTATTCCCACCACCTACAGTAGAATCATGAACTTTTAAGCAAGTAGCATTCATATAACAATTGCAAGATATCTGTTACACTCACCTTGTAACCGTACCACAATAGGTATTTTAATTTCCAAATCCTTTACTGCCATGACTATACCCTGTGCAATAACATCACACCTCATGATTCCTCCAAAAATGTTGACCAGAATAGCCAGTACCTGTGAACAGAATGTTTTTGGTTGATTAAAATTTTAAAGAAATGAGTATGTGTCCTTCCTTCCCAAGAAAATATTAGTATTTATACCTTATGATGAAATTTAATTCCATGGAACCATTTTCAGACAAAACAGCCATCACTGAAGTCTGTGCAGTCCACCACACACCAGAACTTATTTTCCCCTCTTCGGGTAATTCCAACACCTGGCTCATATTCTCTTCTCTTCTGTCTCATATGAATAAGACCTGATTCCTTTACTTGTTTCCTATTAAACACAGCCATTCACCAACATGATATCCCAGATCATGTTGTAAGACAATGTCACATACAAGAGCTCCAACTTATGTTCATTGACTATCATCTCTTCTTCACTTAGCCCCACCAATTCAACAAACTCTTCACACAAACCAGGTCCTCAAAAATCACTGAATTTCTGTATGCCCACTACTAGCTACACATCACATCCAAACCTCTGGGTCAGTATTTTTTCATCATCACACCAATAATCTGAACCATTGTTCTATCACGTACAAAAAATTTTTTTTCACTTTTTATTATTTTTTTTATTTTTTAAATATATTTTATTGATTTTTTACAGAGAGGAAGGGAGAGAGATAGAGAGTTAGAAACATCGATGAGAGAGAAACATCGATCAGCTGCCTCCTGCACATCTCCTACTGGGGATGTGCCCGCAACCAAGGTACATGCCCTTGACCGGAATCGAACCTGGGACCCTTCAGTCCGCAAGCCGGCCAACGCTCCACTGAGCCAAACCGGTTTCGGCATCACTTTTTATTTTTAAAAAAATATATTTTTATTGATTTCAGAGAGGGAGGGAAGAAGAGAGGGAGGGAGAAAGAGAGAGAGAAAGAGAGAGAGAGAGAGAAACATCAATGATGAGAGAGAATCATTGATTGGCTGTCTCCTGCCTCCTGCACACCTGACACTGGGGATCCAGCCGGTAACCGGGCAGGGAATTGAACCGTGACCTCCTGGTTCATAGGATTATGCTCAACCACTGGGCCACACTGGCCAGGCTACTTTTCATTTTTAATGCACTTTACTTTGGTGTAGTTCATTCACCTACACCAGAGTTCCTCAGCCAGTGCAATATAAATAGCTTATAGACACCAAGATATTGTTCCCTCAACCCTTAGGGAAGCTAGGAAGGTTCTAGGACAGCTGTCACCTCTGGGCCAGTGGCCTCTGACCACAAGCAACCTTCTCCATATACCTTCTAGGCCCCACTGAAATACGTCTGTGAATGCCATGACATGAAAAAGGTTCAGACACACTGAGCTATACTACACATTCCTCATATTTACCACTATTATTTCTAGAAATTATAATGGACTAGAATTCATAGTGGACTCTGGCACCTTCTTAGCTCTCTTCCTCCCACCTCATTCTAGATAGCTACAATATGCACCACAGGGCATCATCTGACATCCTAGCCTTAAAGTTACTGTTATCTCCAGTCCATTTCAACTAATTCTTACCAAGGACAAACCCTTGACCAGAAAGAGAATCTCTACAATATCAAATGTGTAAATCCCACTTTCTGTCCAGCCTCCTCTTTCACTTCTAATTCCTTTTATCACTAACTCTATCAAACCCAATCTTTTCCTCTTAAAGCCTCTGGTCCCTAAACCCCTTTCTAATCACTGGATGTATCAGCTCTCTACCAACATGACTTTCTTCACTATAGCAAGGGAGGAAGGGTGGGGAAACCTTTTTTCTGCCAAGGGCCATTTGGATATTTATAACATCATTAGAGGGCCATACAAAATTATCAACTTAAAAATTAGCCTGCTGCTAACCGGTTTGGCTCAGTGGATAGAGCGTCAGCCTGCGGACTGAAAGGTCCCAGGTTCGATACCGGTCAAGGGCATGTACCTTGGTTGCGGGCACATCCCCAGTAGGGAGTGTGCAGGAGGCAGCTGATCGATGTTTCTCTCTCATCAATGTTTCTAACTCTCTATCCCTCTCCCTTCCTCTCTGTAAACAATCAATAAAGTATATTAAAAAAAATTAGCCTGCTATATTTGGTCAGACATTTAATTAACTCACCCCTATGCCTTGGCAGGGCCAAACCAAATAATTTCGCAGGCCTCATACGGTCCTCGGGCCAGACGTTACCCACTCCTGCTAGAGAGCCTGGAACCTATAGCTGAGCAATTCAAAGATAATGCCATGTGCGTGCTCAATTCTCTCATACCAAGTCTACCTCCACTACCCCAATTCAATTAATGCATTCTTGGATGTTTCTATCCTGTTAATTTATCCATTCCAACTTTAAAGGAAAGCAAAACAGCAAAAACAAACAAAAAAACCATCCTGTAACACTAGCATAAACCAAAGAGCAGTATAATAATGATTCATCAGCATTTCTTTCCTTAATGATCTGCCTCATACCTTTCACTCTTCATGAGCCTCCTTTCTCCAATACACATCTCAATGCAGCTAAATATAGCTCATCTTCTTAGTCTCCCAAACAAGCAAGCAAACATATACTACACAGCTCTCTTCAACCCTACTTCCATTCAACTGTTAGCACTGTGTCCTTCTGTGCCTTCATAAAAAAGGCCCTGAAAAAGTATCTCAACTCAATCCATTACAGCCTGACGGGAAGCTGGTCCCCTCTCCTCTACGATTCTTACTAAGGTTCCTAATCATTTCATTTAGTACTTAGTGTACTTGATTGCTCCTACATCTGACACTGTTGCCCATCCACTTAATTCTCAAAACTCTTCATCCTGTCCTTTAATGTCACCACTCTCACCTGATCTGCAACTATCTCTGTCAGTTTGTTCTCTCTCTCTTATTATTCTACTAGTGGCCTGGTGCTCGAAATTCGTGCACGGGGGGGGGGGGGGGGGGGGGGGCCCCCAGCCCAGCCTGCACCCTCCCCAATCTGGGACCCCTCGAGGGATTGAGAAATACCCTAAATGATGTCCGACTGCCCATTTAGGTCCGATCCCAGTGGGCAGTCGGACATTCCTCTCACAATCCAGGACTGCTGTCTCCCAACCACTCGCCTGCCTGCCTGCCTGATTGCCCCTAACCACATCTGCAGCCTACTTGACAGCTGCTGATCAGGCCCTGCCTCTCTCTCTCTCTCCACAGGCCTCGCGAGCAGCCGCTGTGGCTGCTGATTAGGCCCCGCCTCTCTCTCCAGGCCTCTCTTCGGGCTTGATCCGCAGCCACCAAGGCAGTGGTGAGGTTGTTAGGCCTCCACCCGGCCTGGGCTGGAGGCTAACAACCTCGCTGCACCCACCTCGCTTCCCCTGTCTGGTGACCAGTCGTCTGGTCATTTAGGACATAATGGCTCCTGGTCTTTTATAATGTAGACTAGGGGCCCAGTGCACAAATTTGTGCACCTTGAAAGGAACTGTGGGCCACGAGGCTGCGGTGGGCACAGAGGCAGGTTTTGGCCCATCCTCCATGCCCCTGCCCGGCCCCTGCCGCTGCGACCCCAGGTCCCCTCTCTGCCAGCAGCCCTGTTCCTGTCACCTCTGCTCCCACGCGCTGACAGTGCCAGCCCCACTTGCACCCGCTGATGGCGCGGAGCGATTGGGGCTGGTGTCAGCAGCGGGTGTGAGTGGGGCTGGCACGTCGGTGGGTGTGAGCAGCAACCTCTGCCCCGATTACCCCTCAGGAGCAGGGGGAGGTGGAGAAGCCTTCACGGACGACAGGCACTGGCAGCCGCCGCTCGCACCCACTGACGGTGCCGGGCACCGGCAGTGGGTGCAAGCAGCAGCTCCGGCTGTGCGGGACTGGTGCTGGCAGTGGGTGCGAGTGGCAGCTCTGGTGCCAGCAGCGGGTGTGAGTGGGGCCGTCTCCGGCAGTGGGTGTGAGAGGCGACTGCTGGCTCTGATCACCCCTCAGGAGTAGGGGGAGGTGGAGAAGCCCTGAGGGACGATCAGGGCCGGCAGCTGCCACTCGCACCTGCTGACAACCGTGCTGAGCAATCAGGACCAGCGCTGGGTACTGGCAGCGGCTCCAGCGCCGGCAGCGGGTGCAAGTGCCAGGCGGGACCGTGGCGCACGGGAGCAAAGAATTTTCAGTAACTACCAGAGGCTCGCCCTGATGACAACGACCAGCGCTCCGCCTTGGTCTGGTGCTCCCGCTGACCTGCTCCATCATCCCACTGCGGCCAGCACCTGCCATGTTCCACGCGCACCCCCTTGTGGTCAGCGCATGTCATAGCGACTGGTTGTTCGGCTGTTCTGCTGTTTGGTCTATTTGATTATTAGGGTTTTATATATGTAGATTTTATCGCTCCTTCTTTATTCAGTCCTTCAACATGGAGGAGAGGGGTAGGTGAAGAGCTAGTTCCATTCTTGGTTTCCTCATCTTACTCATTTGAGTCATCTCACCAACTCCTAACACTTCAACTTTTCTCAATATACTGAGGACTCTCAAATATATATCTAACCATTATACGAAATATATCTTTATAACCATAAACTAGATACAGTCCCCACAGTGCAAAATTAACACATTCAGAAATACATATTTCTCTATTTTGCCTCTTGATGGCACAAAGGACATCATCACCACCCAATGATTGTCCCCAGCCAAAAGTCCTAACCAACCCCTGGTTGGTTAATCCAACTAAGCTCTCTCAATGCCACCCCCCAGCTACCCAAAAAAGAAGAGAAATGAATTTAATGATTGTATCTCAGAAATGCCTCTAAATATCTTTGCTTTATTCTTCCTGACACTACCTTTGCCAGGACCTCTTCGTCTTTTTTAACAATGAGGTATAACAACCAAATTGATCTATCCTACCAGTGCCTCCGTGCTCTACATTTCACACTCTACTAGCAAAGTTACCCTTTTTTAGAAAATAAAAAGATAAGGAACCATATATATATATATATATGCTGGAATAGAGGGGTTAAATTCCAAACTCCTTAACAATAGGTACAGGGGTTTTCACAATATGGACTCAACATTATCTCTTATCATTCGCCCCAAAAATGTTATTCTTATACATAAGCATCTTATTCCATGAACATAGTGGCTGTCTCTATACTCCATGCCTTTAAATAAACTTATTCAATTCTCAAGATAGCTCAAGGTATCATCCATTCAGTGGCCATTGTGATTCTCACAGTTATTGGTTGTCTTGTATTCTTCCACAGCACTGCATTCAGTTTATCACCCCAGTCAGACTATACTAGTAAATGCCTTGAGAGGAGGGACGATGTATTCCCAAATCCAAGCACAGTGTCCAATACAAAGAGTTATAATATGTATACAGCTACTTCAATGCTATCCACATTGTCTCCCTGGGCTACGGAACTGTTTCCAACTCCAATGCTCTAATGTCAGTCCCTAACACTGGAATTCTTTATATGCATTTATCCATACTTGTACCTAGGCCCTAAAAGCCACGCTTAAAAATATAACAAAAATTCCAGTTCACCTTCAAAGGGACTCAACGGTTAGATAATTACATAATACTCTTTTAGAGTTTATGCCAAAAGAAGCTATACAAATATAGTTCCAATAAAATTTGTTTACTTTTTAAAAAATATTATTCAACAGGAGAATAAAGCAATTTGTGTTTCATTTTAGTTTAATTCTCTTTATGAAACTGAAGATGGCAAATAAGTCTATAAACTCAAAGTCAAAGAGCAGTAAAATAATTTTTCAAACAATTCTAGAGTCTAAAACAATAAAAATGTACACTGTCAACATCATCAATAATAAGTATTTATAAATGACCTATACATGTACTGTGTATTATGCCAACCACTGCCAGAGGCAACAATGAGTAAGATATGATCCCTATCAATGAGGAATTCTCATTCTTAATTCAATAAGACTAGTTCCAGGGAGGCCATTATCTTATTTTTCCATAAGCCTTAAAACCCACATTGGCCACATAGTAGCTATACTGCTTAAAAAGTATCTGGTGACTGATAATATGTATGTCTTTTAGATAATGATGCTTCACATCCCTTGTATATTGATAATCACTTATAAATTCATAGTCTACATTATGGCATATCTGCATATGACAGATTATGCAAACATTAAAATAGGTGGTTTAGAAGAGTACCTTAGTAAATGCAAAAAGTACTCATAATATGTCAGCAAAAATAAAAGACTCAAAATATGTACATTAAAAGACATATACATGAATGGCTGAACTATGTAAGTTATCTACAATAAAAAAAGGGTAATATGCTAATTAGACTGAATGTCTTCTGGATGTAATTCTGGACTTCCTTCCTGATGAAGCCGAGGCCGGAGGGAAGCCAGCCCGGGTCCCGGGTGCCTGCGGGTGGCCGGAGGAGGGAAGCAGCCAGCAGCAGGAGGAGGGAAGCCTGGGTCCCAGGTGCCAGAAGGAAGCCGGTGCCGGCAACCAGGGGAAGGAGGCCTACTCTCGCACGAATTTTCGTGCATCGGGCCTCTAGTATCTTAATAAGTAGTATGTGTGAGTGTGTGTATGTGAAATCATTAAAAAGTCTTAAAGAAAATAGATCAAATCAATAGTAACAAAAGTTATCTCTGGATAAAATTAAAGATTATTTTTTATTTTCATCTTTTTAGCTTTACAGACTTACCAGATTTCTGGGCTTCTGCGGTCAACTAACATCTTCATTTTTCATAGTCATGTGCTCCCATATCAAATCATACCATTTAAAATATTGTCTAACATAATGTAACATTTCTTCATCTTGTTTTCTAAATCACTATGTGGAACTTTATCTTTTTCTGTAGTTAACTGTTATTGCATTGTTTTCAAACAATGGAAGACTTTTAAATTTTAATGTTCAACTAGTGTAATAATCACATCTGCTAATTAATCAAGTTACTTCTCACCATTCAAATTCTAAAACATAAGCCCTGCCCTTACCTTTTTATCTGAAGTGATAAGCTTAAATGCTTCTGTTACTTGATGGACTGTGGCACCACCACCAACATCAAGAAAGTTGGCTGGAGTCCCTCCATGAAGTTTTATTATATCCATTGTGGCCATAGCCAAACCAGCACCGTTTACTATCAAGAGGGGAAAATGATTTGTATAAGCAACAAACACAAAGAAAATAAATTAAGCTTAGCCAATCCAACTCTAACATAAAAACACATAGTACCTAGACAGCCTATATTCCCATCTAGGCCAATGTAGTTGATATCTGCCTTAGCTGCATCTTTGTCCCTTTCATCTTCCTGAGTCCAGTCCTGGAGATCAAAGATTTTCTTCTGGCGATAAGCTGAATTAGAATCAAAATTGATCTTCGCATCCATACACAGCACTTTGAAGAAAAAAAGAAAAGAAAATGATCTTAATTTACTAGACAGCCTATATTCCCATCTAGGCCAATGTAGTTGATATCTGCCTTAGCTGCATCTTTGTCCCTTTCATCTTCCTGAGTCCAGTCCTGGAGATCAAAGATTTTCTTCTGGCGATAAGCTGAATTAGAATCAAAATTGATCTTCGCATCCATACACAGCACTTTGAAGAAAAAAAGAAAAGAAAATGATCTTAATTTCAAGATAGACGCAACAAACTATCCAATAATCAAACATTCTTCATTTTAGGAGAAAAACACATTTTGTTACTTTATTGAAAGTATTTCAATTTATGTTCACTTTTAATTCAAACTGTTTCTTGAAAAAGAGAATTTGGGAATTGAATCTGAAGTGCTACCTGTTACTGGGTCTATATCTCTCCTAGGCAACAGATAAAGAAGGGGGGGGAGGGGAAATCCCTGAAAAACATTTAAATATTTTAAAAATTACCAATTAACTATTGATGCTCCTAGCTAAACCCTTCACTTGGGCCCTAGATTCCATTCCCTCTCACGCATTCAATGACATTGTTCCAGCAATTGTTTTTCCTACATTATAAATCCTCCCCTTTTCTATTGGCTAAATCAAACTGACTTGCAAAAAATGCTGTTCTTTCCTCCAACTTAATAAAAAGTACTTTAACCTTTATATTCCCCTTACTCTTCTCTTTCTATACAGCAAAACTCACGGAGAGAGTTGTCTGTGTAAACCCGGGATCAGGAAACTGGCTAAGGGCCAGATTCAGCCTATGCCTATATTTTATGTCCTGTGAACTAATAATGGGTTTTACATTTTTAATAGGTTGGGAAGAATAAAGGGGAAAGGACAAAGGAAGAAGAACAAGAAGAAAAGCAGCAGCAACTGTGACCATATGTGCCCCACAAAGCCCAAAATATTAACTCCCAATCCCTGTGATTAAATTCATTGTACCAAATTTTTTTTCTGCCTTCCTTTCTTTAATCCACTCTAATCAGGCTTTAGCCTACAGTGCTCTACAACAAGGCTCATATGTAGTTCACCTCTCAAACTTCATCTTTCAGTACTCTACCACATTCTTTGCTCCAATCCAACTAACTATAACATTCTCCTTGCAGTTCTTGAACAGAGGCTGAAAAAACTGAGCAGTTTTAGCTGCTGCCCAACACAAGAGACAATTTGGAGTCCAGCTAAGTTAACTACTAATATAAAAAATCAACATTCTTTCAGAGGAAGATAACAGAATCCAAAATCTCTACACCATAACTCCAAAATGTCCAATATACCATGAAAAATTATTACATTTGTGAAGAAACAGGAAAATGTGACTAAGAGTAAAGAGAAAAAGCAATCAAGAGTACCCAATCCAAGATGACACAGATTTGGAATTATCAGAGGGCTACGAAACAGTTATTTTAAAAATGTGTAAGGATTTAAAGGAAAATATGATCACAATAAAGCACCAGATAAGTAATCTCAGCAGAAAATAAAACGATAAAAAGGAACTAATTAGAAAATCTAAAAAGGTATTGGTTTTTAAATACCACAATATCTGAAATGAAAAATTTATGGGTGGGCTTAACAAACTGGAGACAAGTCAGATCCTGAAGTCATCCAATCTGCAAATGATTAAAAACCCCACTTCAATGACTTATTGGATAATATAAAGTCATCTAACAATATGTGAAATTAGAAGGAGACGGGGAGGAGAATGTAGCAGAAAAAATTATTTGGAGAGATAAAAAACATGTGTCAAGCCAGATTTCTATACCCAGTGAAAATATATTTAAAAATATAAAATTAAGATATTTTCAGACAAATGGAGGCAAAATTCATAACTAGCAGACCACATCAAGAGAAAATGCTAAAGGGAGTTCCTTGGGCTCAAGGAATGTAACATGTGGAATTAGAATCTAGAGCAGTGGTCTCAACAAGGCAGTTTGTCCCACTGGGGACATGTGGCAATATCTAGGGGCATTTTTGATTGTCACAACTAATGGTCACTAATTGGCATCTGAGTCTACAATGCACAGGACAGACTTCTCCCATCCTTACCCTCCCAATGATCTGGCCCCAAAATGACAACAGTGACAACGTTAAGAAACCATGGTCTACAGAAAGGAAAATAATACCATAAATATATGTCTATATGAGCAATGTTGGCTAAAAGAATTTCAAATATGGAAAGGGAAAGAACTAGAATGAATTTTGTGGTATTGGAGTGAAATTAGAGGTACCAGTATAAATTCAGAGATTTTAAAAGATAGGCATAGATAAAAATATAGGTGTATTTTTATGTATGTATACACACACACTCTATCACGTTCTCTTTTCTTTTCTTTTTTTAAAATATATTTTTATTGATTTCAGAGAGAAAGGGAGAGGGAGAGAGAGATAGAAATATCAATGATGAGAGAGAATCATTGATCAGCTGCCGCCTGCATGCCCCCTACTGGGAATCAAGCCTGCAACCCGGACATGTGCGCTGACCGGGAATCAAACCATGACCTCCTGGTACATAGGTTGACACTCAACCACTGAGCTACACCACCTGAGCGCGCGTGCTCTCGCTCTCGCTCTCTCTCTCTCTCTCTCCCCCCTTCTAGGCTCTGTGCACTGAAAAGGTTTGGAAAACAACAGCAACAAGCACAGATAGAATGCATATCTTGGTTTCTAAATACCACTTTCCATTAAAGGAACCAGGGTCCCTTGGTGCAAAAGCTAACTGCAGAATTCTAAGAAAGTAAAAGATAATAATCCTGGAATATCCTGTTGCACAAAAAGTAAAGAAGGGCTCAAAGAACATGGAAAACTTATGGTCATGCAAAACTGACATATAAATGTTCATAATAGCTTTATTAGTAAGAGCAAAATATTGAAAACACCCAAAATACCTTCAAAGGGTTAGTGGTTGAATGAATTCTGGTACATCCAAACAATGGAATACAACTCAGCAGTAAAATGGATGAACTATTGGTACATGCAACAACATGGGCAGACTTCAAAGACAATCTACACTAATAAAAGAGAAACATGCAAATTGGTGTCACTCCGCTACCCTTCCCATTGGCTAATCAGCATATCCTTATGCAAATTAACTGTCAGCCAAGATGGCGGCCGGCAGCCATGCACTGAAGCGAACAGGGAGGCTTGCTTGCTCCAGTGACTGCGGACTCCAACGTTCCCCGCCTGACTTGCCGGCCTCTCAGCTGCAACTCTAAGCAACTATGTTGCAAATATAGAAGCTAAACAAAACCCCAGAAACCTGCTTTA